TATATATATATATATATATATATATATATATATATATATGCATACGAATGACGCTTACCTTCTTCTTTTTTTTTTCTTTTTTTCTTTCTTTTTCTGTTCGTGATATAATTTCCCTCGATTTGTGTTTTGTTTCATTTTTTTTTTTTTACGATTATTTTTGTACAAAAAAAAAAGGCTGTACTCGTCGATATGTTTTTTATTGTTTTGCATCATTCTCTGCTCCCTTCCTGCAGAAATGAGTAAAAATTACATTACAATTCCATACAAACCCGAAGAAACAAACAGACATACAAACACATACATACATATATGAACATACAAACACAGTCATCTTTAGAAGCTACTCTTGGGCGGGAGACACCTTTGAATGAATATCAAAAAGAAAAAAAAAAGAAGTATATATATATATTTATATATATTTATATGTATACATTCACGAAAACATACCGATATGTATTACATATATATATGTATAAATATATGTAATCTATTTACATCTTTCCCTTTCTTTGGTTTCTATTTTTTTTTCTTGAAGAAAGTAAAACTAAAGGAAAGAGACAGAATGATTATTTAAAGGGTCCACAGAGAGAAAGAAAAGTGCGATAGAAACCAATTACAAAGAAATCTAACAACGGTTTGAGGATGAAAAAAAAAAAAAAAGAAAAAAAAGGATATTTATTTTCTGATAGGTGTGCGTATCTATATTTATGTAATCTCATTCTTAATATCTCTGTTTATTTGTGTTTGTGATTGTATGTTCGTGTGTGCGTGTTGTTGTTGTTGTTGTTCTCTTTTGTTATTGTTTTTTGTTCTTTTCGGGTTACTCCTTCTTTCCAACATCTCTGTTGAACTAATATTAATAGATCATTACCTTCATTATTATCATTATCATAATAATACCACTCTTTGTATCTGTACGGTTTCTTTTTTTTTTTTTCTTCTTTCTCTCCAAAGAAGCCTTATTCTTTAGTTTAAGAAGAGAGTAAGGAAACGTATACGTAGAGAAATTCGGATAAAAGGGAATAAAAAAGTAAAAACAAAGAAAAGTGTATGTATAACTTCTCTCTCTTTATACCTTACGTATAGTTTCATGATCATCACAGAAGATATCTTTGCATGCGTTCGGGAATGGCGCCGCAATAAATTGGCAAGTGCCTTTATTAGTACGAATACAACTACTAGTAATAGTAATAACACTAGTGCTAATAGTAATAGTAGTAATAATAATAATAATGTTTTTGGAGATGAGGAAATGCTGGTTGTGCTATCGGGTATGAATGTTGTGCCGGGAAAACTCATTCTCACTTCTTCTTCTTCTTCTTCCTCCGATGAATGTACGGCCGCTATTGAGATTCATTCCCGCTGCTGTAAAATTTCCATTCCTTTTTTAGAAGAAGATCGTCTGCACATTATCCGTCAATTACGATCCCGGTCTATTCTTGATTCTCTTAGTGGTATGAACAGCCGTTTAGAGAACTCCGATGAAAATATATTATCATTGCCGCATTCTGATTGGTCGTCTAATCCTTTTCATACACTTTCGATGAAACTTCATTCTTCTTCTTGTTGGTGGCGAATGGGAGATGTGGTGCGATTAGCCGTGAAATCTCCACGACTATCATTTGTGGATTCCACACTTATTCGCCATCGCTGTGCTGCGGTAGTTGTGGTGGATAATTCAACTGCGGAGACTTCAGTGAATAGTCTCACGGTGAGTGGAGTGAATTCCTCGACGAAGTTATTACTTCCACGCGGTTCACCGGCGTCGTTTATTCGTTTTTCTTTACTTTCATCTACACTTGCGTGGATGCGGGCGTTAGTGGCGGAGTCCTCATGTGGATTAACAAGTGGAACACCAATGGGTTTATTACGGGTTCTTTTTGGTTTAAAAAGGACACGGTCTTTAGAAGGGGAAGAGAAGAATGCTGGTCATAATCATAATAATAATAATAATAATAATAATAATAATAAGGGTAATAAGGAAGATGTTGAGAATGATGACAGTGATCTTGCCCCTTCTCTGTGTCTCTTGTTTGCCCTATTCGGCTACCGCATAGAACCGCTGACTCTCACTCAAACAACAACAGATAATAATAATAATAATAATAATAATAATAATAATAATAATAACGATGATGTTGACATGGAGGATGCATGGCGACGGATTGGTGGAAATATCTCGTGTTATTTTTGTGGTCAGAAACCAAAGTTGGTGATTGAAGAAGTCGTGGTAGAAGAAGAAGAAAAAGCAGAGAAAGAACCATCTCAACATCAAGAAAAAAAAGAGGAAGGTGGAGAAGAAAAAGAAGAAGAAGAAGCTGAGAAGCCAACGGAGTTAAGTGAACTGCATAAAGAAGTAGTGCCAACCAATGAGGAGGAGCCTACAACTACACCGGAGCTCACATCTCCTGTTACTATCCAAACTTCCAAACGTACAAGCGTACACTATCACTATACCATTCATTTAAGTGAACAGACGGATTGCTCGGGTCATCATCACAACTGTCCATGGCGAGTGCTCTTTCTTCGCATAGTGTTGGCCGATGTTCTTTCACCGGCATCATCGAAGGAATTGCAATTTAACATTTCTGATGTTAGTGCCTCTGTGGCACAACTACGTGTTTGTCTGCGACTACCAGAAGTGACAAAACTGATGGAGTGTTGGCGCCGTAGTGTTTATGCGGCCTCTGCGTGGGGTGAAGTATATACACAACACCCACTTCCCGCTGCTGTACGGACGGCTATTCCACCACCCGCTGATGTGAGAGTAGAGAAGTATTTGCAGTC